TGGTTGCTCCATATAAACCTCATCCTCAAGGTCACCGTGAAGAAAAGCATTCTTAATGTCCAAGTGATAGAGAGGGCAATGGCGAACAACAGCCATGGATAGAAAAAGGTGGACTAATGCAATTTTAGCCATGGGAGAGAAAGTATTACTGTAATCGAGTCCAAATATCTGAGTATACCCTTTGGCAACAAGACGAGCCTTAAGTCGATCAACCTGGCCATCTGGACCAACTTTGACTGTATACACCCAACGACAACCAACAGTCGCTTTACCCGAAGGAAGAGGAACAAGCTCCTAAGTACCACTCGTATGTAAAACAGACATCTCGTCAATCATAGTCTGTCGCCATCCGGGATGAGACAGTGCTTCACCTGTAGACTTAGGGATGGAAACAGAGGACAAAGATGACACAAATGCACAATGGATGATGACAGACGATGGTAACTTAAACCGACATAATGAGGATTAGGATTAAGTGTGGACCATATACCTTTTCGTAGTGCAATCGGTTGATTAAGAGGAGACAAGTACGCAGTATTAGCAGGGTCAGGTGCAGGACATGAATCAGCTGTGCCTGATGCTGGGTGCGGACGACGATGATAAGTCAGGGATGGTGGAACTGTAGAAGGTTGAACTGGACTAGGTGGTGGCACTTGAGCTATAGTTGGTAGAACTGGACTCAGTGGTGGCACTGGAGCTATAGGTGGCGGAGCTGCAACTGGAACTATAGGTGGTGGAGCTATGGAGGAAGATGAATGTGAGATATGGACTGAATCTCCAAAAGAAGGAACTGGTAGCACCTCAGAAATATCTAAGTAATTAACTGGACCTGTGAAGTATGATTGGGTTTCAAAGAAGGTAACATTAGCAGACATAAGAAATCACTGAAGGTCAGGAGAATAACATCGATATCCCTTTTACGTTCTCGAGTAACCCAGAAATATGCACTTAAGAGCACGGGGAGCTAACTTATCTTTTCCTGGAGTAAGGTCATGAACAAAGCACGTACTCCCAAAGACACGGGGTGGAAGAGAGAACAAAGGTAAGTGGGGAAATAAGACAGAGAATGGAATTTGATTTTGGATAGCTGAAGATGGCATACGATTAATAAGATAACAAGATGTAAGGACTGCATCCCCCCAAAAACGCAACGGAACATGAGATAGTATGAGTAGGGTACGAGCAGTTTCAATAAGATGTCTATTCTTTCTTTCAGCTATCCCATTTTGTTGGGATGTGTACGGATAAGATGTTTAATGAATAATCCCATGGGAGTTCATAAACTGCTGAAATGGGGAAGACAAATACTCTAGGGCATTATCACTATGAAATGTGCGGATAGAAACCCCAAATTGATTTTGAATTTCAGCGTGGAAGGTCTGGAAAATAGAAAACAACTCAGATCGATTTTTCATCAAAAATATCCAAGTGCACCTGGAATAATCATCAATGAAACTGACAAAATAGCGGAATCTCAAGGTAGAACTGACCCGACTAGGACCCCAAACATCTGAATGGACTAAATTAAAAGGTGACTCTGCTCGATTATCAAGATGCCGCGGCAAATGGGAGCGGGTATGCTTACCGAGCTGACATAACTCACACTCTAGGATGGACAAGTGAGATAAGCCAGGTACCATTTTCTGAAGTTTTGACAAACTGGGTTGGCCTAACCATTTATGTAATAAATCTGGTTAATCAGTAACGGGACAAGTTATTGGAGGAAAACAAGATTCGAGTCCATGTGATTTTGTAAGGATAAGGTAATAAAGTCCATCTGATTCACGTCCGGTACCAATGATCCGCCCTGTACTGCGTTCCTGTATAAAAACAAGGTCATCAAGAAATAAAACAACAGATTTAAGTGATTTGGCTAAGCGACTAACGGCTATGAGATTAAAAGGACTACCAGGAACATAAAGAACTGAGTCTAAAGGTAAGGAAGGAAGTGGACTTGCTTGACCTATTGCAGTTGCCATGACTTGAGACCCATTGGCCATTGTGACTGTTGGAAGAGATTGAAAATATGAAATACTAGTGAAAAGAGATTTGTTACCAGAAATATGATCAGATGCACCTGAATCAATAACCCAAGACTCAGAGGTTGAAGGTTGGGAGACACAAGTCATACTACTATCTGTTTGAACAACGGAAGTTATCTCTGAAGATGTCTGTTTACATGCTTTGTACTAAAGAAACTCAATATAATCCGGTAAGGAAACCATCTGGATTGGATTCAATGCATTGGATCCAACAGATTGTGAGTTAAAGGCTTCAGATATGAATGCCATTATAATGTTGCACCGGAAAAAGCAGATTTTTTTCTTCTGAAAATTACTGTTCACGCCAGAAAAATATAAAAGTGATCGGAATTTGATTTAAATTGGATGGGTAGGCTCGGATTTGCGAGGAGAATACATTGGCCTGAAGAAGTTTCTCCAAAATCTGGCCGGAAACACTGTCACGCACCGGCGTGCGGACGTCGGAGCTTCGCCGGAAAATTCCGGCGGCACGTGGGGGGTCTTCTGATGGAGAATATTTTATGGGTTGGTCACTGGAGGCCGATCTACTTCGTGGTGGTGTTGGTTTTTGCACAACACTGACGAAAAGTGGCTTTTTATTACGGACAGCCTCTTAAGTCGCTGGAAAATTGCACGGCGACGAGGTCTTTCTTCCCGGCAGCCGCTGGAATGATGCACAACGATAATTTTCTCACTGAAGCTCTGATACCATGTGAGAATGCACCGGAGAAAATATTATTGATTTATATTAACAATGATACAATGAGCCCTATATATATAAAATACATGTCCTACTCCTAATACATATGGGATTAGGGTTATTTACTACTATTTAACTATCAAACTAACATCCTCTATGTGCATCACTTATACTTTCTATCAGATGTGTTAATTTTTAATCTTGTCTAATCTCTCGTTTGATTGCATATCCACCTCAATATTCATTTTAAGTACGACACTCATCTTTTGAACGTATTAGGAGTAATGACTAACGTTCACTCCCATAAAAAGTTGTTGGTCTAACGACTGTTCTATAGCACTGACTTCCACTTTGGTTAGGTAACCTCTTATCACATAAGACACGTGTAACACTTCCTTTCAACCATCACATTTTAATTGTATGTGTACATTTTCTTCTTTTTGAAACATTGAGCTTCAATATCTGTATTGTTTTTAGTTAGGTATCACAATCTCGTCTAATTTTACACTCCAACTTCAGTCTTCTCATGCTGGTTAAACTTGCAGTGCAAATATTGTATCTTCTTAGGGCTTGAGTATAATAAACGCTGGTCTTGGGATAATTTTCCCTTTTCAGATGTGTCTCTTCGGGGTATATGTTTCTGCAGTACCTAATGCCTATGAATGTCTGTATGATTTACACAGAATTGATTAGGTGGATTATGTTTCCATGAAAAACTTGTTCACGGGAGAATGGAATTTGCTTGATATGAATTTTTTCTGTTGTTTCCTTTCAGTCTTGATGAACAACTGGAATCTATAAGGGAATCTCTCGATGAAAGTAGATCGTCAATGCTTTCATCATTCTTGGAGTCCAAAAAGGTAAGTATTTTGTTTTGGTGATAGTACATAAGAGAAGGTCCAAATTTGATTACAAATATGATGAGATTTTAACAATCGCTGGGTGCGCTTTTTAGTATGTAAGCAGTTGTAATATGTTTGTTAGATAGTTATGTAAATAAGTTTGACTTAGATGTAATATAGTGAAGTATGTACAAGTGTTACATATCGGACAAATATATGTTTAATGACTCAAGCATAGCTTAGTGGTCAAGGGGGTTCAAAACCTTTGCAAGGTCATTGGTTCAATTCCCACTAGCTACAATCTTCCACTCTTCCTTGAGCCTAGGGTCTATCGGAAACAGCCTCTCTATCTCTATAAGGTAAGGGTAAGGTCTGCGTACACACTACCCTCCCCAAACCCCATTTACGGGATTAAACTAGGTTTTTTTGTTGTTGTTGTTGTTGACTCAAGCTTAAGACTTGTCTTAGGACGTTCTCTCCATCTCTTCTGCCGCCCTTTCTTATTTTCGCACTGTTTAAGAACTTTTTAGTATCAGAATTCCTTGCTTCTGCACATTCTGAAAGTTCATTAGAATATAACGGTCTAAATGGCTGTGAAGCCCTTCCATTGTGTCCCAAATAATTCAATTTCCGGGTGTATGGGAAGTAGAATGACTTTTTATCTGAAAGATGGTATCTTTTGCTATGAAGTGGTGACTTGTGTGCTGAGTCATTATTCAGTAATCACTCCGTAGTTCTCTGATTATGGTAGATACCTGGACTCCAGCAATTGTTTTCTGTTTTTGCCTCTTGGGTTCAAGAGCTTGAGTCTAATAAAAACTGGTGTTGGGATAATTTGCCCTTTTCAGATGGGTCTCTTTTTTTTTTTTTTTTTTTTTTTTTTTTTTTTTTTTGCACCGAGTGTCCGAGTCTCTAAGAGCCCCGACTAATCCCGGGGGTGCACAGGCCCTCAACAAGGAGTTTCCCGCAAGTGCACCAGATGGGCTCTTACCTATTTGCATTTTCTTATACTGTTAAATATTCCATGTTCTTGAGCCATTTGTCCACAAATTTTTTTCCTTCTTTTCAAAATATTTTTTGAAAACATTGTTTGGGTATACATTGGACTGAATTTTTGAAATTTAATTCCTTAGTGTAGCAAGGATCCCCTTTTTAGGTTATTCCCTTATTGAAGCTTATGCTGATTCTGGTTTTGGCGTCTTTCCTAGGGATTGGCTATGTTGGATGAAAAACATAATGTTTCAGAGACTGAAAGGACTGAATTTCTAGTCAGGACAATAAACTCTCTGAATGCTCTTCGTGAAGTAATTGTCAAGGGTCTTGAAAGTGGCCTCCGTAATGATGCTCCGGATGCTGCAATAGCTATGCGGCAAAAGGTATGAATTTCTTAAATTTACCGAATGCTAAAGTTGTCATTGATTCCAGTTACTTGAATCATCCAATACTTCCAACTTGTCATTATGCAGTGGCGTCTCTGCGAGATTGGGCTCGAAGACTATGCGTTTGTCCTTTTGAGCAGGTATATACTCTGAATACCAGATATGTGCTAAAGGAACATATGTGTGTGTGTTGCTCAGGGCGTAATCAGTATGAGATTGGTTCTTTTTCTAATTATAATATTTTCCCTTTTCCCTGGCGGTAAAAAGATCTTTAATAATTAGAGTAAAGGCAAGGACAAGTTGATCGACGGTTTCTCTTCTTCATTTGAGCATCAGTTGCATATGTTTATACACTTCCCATTTATTTTAAGAATCTTTCTGCAAAATATATAGGTTTGTCAATGCAGTTGAAGCTCGGGGAGGAGCTGATTCACTTGCAGATAATGTAGCGCAGAAAAATGTTAGCTCTTGGAATGATCCAATTGGAGCACTTAATGTTGGAATCCAACAACTAGGTCTATCTGGTTGGAAACCTGAGGAATGCAAAGCTGTTGGAAATGAGCTTTTGTCATGGAAAAAGAGGGGACTTTCAGAAACCGAAGGTATCTTATTGTCATCCAATGATTTATCATATGTGCAATCATGATATGCTTCAGGTCTCCTGAAATTTTTTGTGCTTATCTTTACGGAAGGCAGTGAAGATGGTAAAACTATATGGGCATTGAGACTAAAAGCTACTCTTGATAGAAGTCGGAGGTTAACTGAGGAGTATTCCGAGACACTTCTCCAAATATTCCCTGAAAAAGTCCAGGTGATTTACCTGTAAACTATCCAAATTGAGCATTTAAGTTTGGACCAATTATGATAAGGGCTGACTAACTGCGTTTGTCGTATTGCAGATTTTAGGGAAATCTTTGGCGATTCCTGAAAATAGCGTGAGAACATTTACTGAAGCTGAAATTCGAGCAGGGTATGATTTGGACAGATACTTTGTTCTGAATAGTGTTTGCTCCAATCTGATTATGCTTATTTCTCTCTGACTGGGAAGATGTTACTATAAGTTGACAAGTGGCTTCTAACTTTTTAAAATACGTGTCATTTGTAGTGTGGTTTTTCAGGTTTCAAAGCTTGCTACACTACTTTTGAAGGCTACTAGAAGGACAATTGGGTCTTCGGGCTGGGATGTTCTCGTTCCAGGGGATGCTTTTGGACAGCTAATACAGGTTCATGTTATACTGTTTATTCCACACTATGTCTTCGTACATGTTATAATTTTTCTTCCTGAATGCATAACCATTGCCATTTCTCTTGCAAGCTGTCTCTATACTATCAAACACAAACACACGCTAACATGCAAATGAAAAATCCTTTCTCATGTAGAAATTTCACCCCTTAAAGTTTTGATGCAAATCTAAGTTGCGCGTACTAGTTCTGGGTTTTAACTTTAATTCTAATGCTGCGAATGCATGCATTTTTCTCGTTTTGAAATTTTATCTTAAGTCTATCTAAACAAGTTTTTTCTTATAGTGCTATCATATCCGTAACTGGAGTATATGGGCTGATTACATACATTTCAGGTGGATAGAATTGTCCCAGGGACTCTACCATCATCGGCAACCGGACCTGTTATTCTTGTAGTGAACAAAGCTGATGGAGATGAAGAGGTTGCCCGTGCTTCTCATCCTTCTGTTTCTTTTGTGGAATCCTAAGGCTTTAGAAACTTATGTATTACTCAGAGCAGGATACTGAACGGCGTTGTCGACCATTTTACAGGTGACAGCAGCAGGAAGTAACATATCTGGGGTCGTACTTCTACAGGAGCTACCTCATTTATCTCATCTAGGTGTTAGGGCGCGACAGGTAAGTTCCAAATTTTGCCCCCATCTCCAAAATTTAATTATAGGCTTTTTCCTTTTATGTGAGTGTTAGTTATAGAAATGTTACTTTCTTTTGATTGCAGGAAAAGGTAGTTTTTGTGACCTGCGACGATGATGACAAAGTTTCTGATATAAGAGAACTAACTGGAAAATATGTGAGGTTATTTTCTTCAAACCCCTTATGTCATTGATTTCTACATGCTGCACCAGTTTGACTTCTGATGAGAACTTTAACTCCTTCATGATTGTAATACTTTAATAATTTTTCTGTTTTGCCTTAATTTTCTGTGGTTATTGACCCTTCATTTTTCAGGTTAGAGGCATCATCAACTGGTGTAAAGTTAACTTCCTCTTCATCAGAGAAAGGCACTGGTGTTTCCCAAAATAAACATCTCTCAGTTACTGCTTCATCTACAAGTGCAGCCTCATCGGACAGTAGTGCTTCCTCAATTGCTGTCAAATCTTCTCATTTTAAAGAGGTAAATAACTTTTCTTGCCGATGACATGTTTCTGTAAATATGTCGGGCCGTAGTTCTGCTTTTCTCCCTCT